GATATGTTCACATTTGCTCTGGGTCTAACAGTTAGTGGCTGCAGTGGGGATAGTGAGGAAATACGGTCAGCATCCCAGGTCATTTCTAGGGTTAGCATGATGTTGATGTTGTTTGTTTCTGTTTCTTTTTTTTTTGCTTGCTTAGGGGCAATTTTATGTTTGCTACAAACTTTATATCTTGGTTTTCATCACTGGTCTTCAAATCTTACAAATACACTTGAATTTCCTAGTCATTAGAAAAATTGCTTTCACAGCTGAACAAACGAAGGGACTGCTGGAGGCAGGTTGAGGCAAGTTCAGGCAAAGCAGTCCCGACAAGCCTGGTCCTGAGCCCCTACAGAGTCAGCAGAAAGCCCATAGCCTGTTACTGGGAGTGACAATTAACCTCTGTTTACTGGGCTATGAGGCTACATTAGCCCTAGAGGTGTTTTCCTCTCACTGCAACCATTGCAGATAAATATTCTATCACATGCAGCAGTCACCTAAGCTGAAAATGCAGCCCAACTGAGGGGTTTGGTCCCCCATTGCAATCCAGGATCAGACAGAAAGGCAAAAGTGACGTAAGAACCTGTTTGATGTGGCCATTTAAAGGCCATTTCAACTGGTTCCAGGGACTGGGGGTTTGGGGTGGTCAAAAACCAGTACCCAGCAGTAGTTTGGATTGGCTGACAAACCACAAGATTTGAGAGAAGTAAGACAAAGACCATAGATTTTCTTAAAACTGCAATTTTCTTTCACTTTTTTCAACTTTTAGCCTTATCTGCAGAAAAAAAATTTGATATGGCAAAGTGGTGCTTTATAGTTGATGTCCTGTATCTTTACAATGGATGTAAGGTATGCCATGATAATAGGCTTTAAATTATTCTTTGCAGTTGTTTAGCCAAAATATTTAAGTGCCTGTATCCGCCTTGTGCTTGGTGTTGGCATTTATGAAAAAGGGGTGGTGTAATTTCATGTGCCTGCTCCTCTGTTGTCTCTTCAACATGAAAACCCCTGTGAAACTGCAGTGCTTCATCCTGCGCTGGAGATGCAACCACCTCCCTTTTCTTGCCCTAACTGGACTTCTGCGATCAGCAAGCTATTACCTGAGCAGACCAACAGCCTTCAAAAATGGCCATGGAAAAAGACTGGACTCTAGTTTAGTAGCATTAGTAATGCGATAGTCACTGTCACAATACCTGTGTGAAATGGTCCAAGCCAAGGCAGAACATTGGACTGATAATTAGCACCAAGTAACTCTGGGCAAGTAAACCTACAGAATGATTAACAAGACAAGTAGCCTTATGTGACATAGCAAAACTCCATATCATTCAATCTCCACAGTGAGGACCACCCCCACCTTGCAGGTGTGCCTTGCAAAGGAGGCTTTTTTCTTGACGTTCCTCAAGAAACTAAAACCTCTGCATAATTTTTTGTTTTGTGTCTTCTGTATGTCTTTGGCCAAGACTGCCAAAGTTGCCGTTTTATATAAATAATGACATTTTAAATACTATTCTCCTGGATCTTCATCAAGGACACTCAAGAAAGACTTTTTTTTCCCAACTACTTAACAAATTTAAGGCACAATGATTTTATTCTATAAGGGAACAAACCTGTAGGGCTGGCTTCCTCACAAGTCCCCAGCCAAAGTCCCTCACTTCTGAGTGCAGGCCAAGGCAAGTTGGGTGCACAAACCATTGACACCACAGGTAGAGAGCTGTCCAGGTAAAGTAATAAACTGTAACACTCTCAGTGAAAACTAGAACAGATGCCACCAGTGAATTCCTGCCTTTGCAGACTTGCTGCAGCTCTGGGCATGTAGCTCAGCTGTGAAGTCAGACAACACCTATGTCCTTTTGTCTTGGAGTTCAAACCAGTAATTCAGAGAACTATGAAAACATGTAAGTTGCCATAGAAATGCAGGCCTGGAAGAGATCATCTGCACTGAGCCCAGTTCAGCTATGCCAATAGCACCAGTGACAGATGGTGGTCTAACCTGTTCTTGAACATGTGTAATGAAAGCCATTCTCTAATCTGAGAGATCAAAAGGGACCATTGTGAAAATCTGCTCTGACCTAACCCCTGCCCTCATGCATTACTGCACAGGCCAAAATACTTCCCCAGCCACAGAGCTGCCTTGGGAAGTTGTACCAGACCTTTTAGGAAGATCCCTGATCTGATGTGCAGTGAGTATAGTGGGCTATGCACCACAGGCAGAGCTAAGCAGATGATTATCTTCACTGTAACAATTGCACTGCATGTAAAAAGAGGCCCTAGGAGACCCACACAGTGTACGGGTAGGGATGTGATACCACCAGGAGAGCAGACCAGGCTGGTGGGCAATTGTAAGAGTCCTGGTCAGTCTAGCATATGGGAGGTATCACTGAATAACAAGGTTGAGGCAAAGAAAATAATTGTACTGAGTAAAAAGTGATATTTTTAAAAATAATGAGAATAAAAATAGACATCTGCAGTCTTTTCAGTTCAGCTGGCTTTGTTGCATAGCTGTCTTCCCACTATCCTTTCAAGATTGTTCTCATAGAACAAAGGCACTCTCAGAAACCTGAGGCTTAGCAGAACTATTTGAAGAAAGTGAGCAAGTGAGGCAAAGCTGCGATGGCCAGAGATGGGCAGGCAGTTGAGTGCACTGCCAAAAAGGAGTCAGGAGATCCAGAGGATTTCCCTCCCTGCCCTACCCTGCCATCCCCACAACTACCTATTGTGTTCGCCTTGCCTGCCCTGCCCTGCCTGCCTACCCTGCTCTGCTTGCCTGTCCTGCTCTGCCTGTCTGCATCCCACTGCAAGTTGTGACAGAATGAACTTGCTCCTCCAAAGTACTCACTTCTGTCAAATCAGCTTTTTTTCCCACTGGTATAAAACTCTTCCAATGGCAACTTGTGACCCATTCCAACAGCAATCCTCACAAATCTTGTGAGAGCTTAGTTTTGGTTTTGTTTGTTCTTTTTTAGAACAGCACTGCAATTTCAATATGTCAGTGCAATCCTTAATGGAAATTCCCTCAGTGCAATCCTATGATCATTCCCTCAGGAGTAAGATTGCTTTTGCAGCTACTCCTCAGAAGGCTCTGTGCTGATGCAGAAACACTCTTGTGATTCTGATGGAGTATAATTAATTGTCATTTTTAATATCACTGGCAGATTTGCTATATGCAATTTCAAGTCTGGCAGATTTGGGCAGTTTCTGCCTTCTTCCTCATCCCCTCACTTTCTCTTCCCCCTTTTCTGATTTTAATTCCCTTTCAACAATGTTCTGAATATGAACAAAAAACTCTCAAGAAGGATAAGGATGAGGGCAACTCCCACAGTATCAAACATCCAGGGGATTTAGGGTGTGACAGGGGCAGGTCAGCAGCAGGAGTGGAGCTGTGCCTTCTCTCCCAGCACTGTTGGGCACTCCATACCACCAGCAGCATCTGCAGTTCAGTGCACTCTGTAGTGACTGGGCTGGGGCTGAGCCATGCCAGGCTCAGGAATGCCACTTACACAGTGACGTTTGCAGCATAAAATGAAAGCCCTATATGCGAAATTAGAGGATAAAGTGAAGGGAACTGCCTGCCAACACCAAATGAGACCTTCGTGCAGGGAGGTGTATTTGTTTTAAAAAGCACACAGTGGGGTTGTTTTTACCTTCTCTACCTACAAGTCCAAGAGCACTGTGGTGTTATGGAGGTGCTTGTTGGTGCTCTCCCCTGGGCTGTTGAACAGCATTAAGGGTATGCACATGAGCTTCTTTCTTCAGTCTAGGCAGGTGCCAGGGGATTGTTTCCCCCCTCACTGTTCGGTCAAACCTTCCTGCTGGCATCAGTGAGGCATCTCACCTAAATCGTGAAATCAAGATTGTGCCCTAAAGCCTGTTCTTTCCTTGAATGCCCACCCTCTGATTTCACCAAAAACCCCAGGGGCTATAATGCAATGCAATGTGCTTTCTATCAATGAGGGAAGACCTTGACCCTGCAGCTGACAGTGGTTGCTGCATGTGTCATCTTGTGTCTAAAAATGTGTCCGTTTTTCTGGAGCCTTCTAGTTCTTTGGTGTCTTTATGTCAGTGATATTAGAACCCAGACTCTTCCCCCTTCCTTTGATCTCACAGCTGATGGACTGTGTCTCCGTCTCAGTCTAGGGATCTCTATTAAACCACATTACCATCCAACCTGTTGCTCCTTGTAGGAGGTATTTCCACTGTGCAGGCCAAGCCCCCTGCAGTCAGTGTTCACACAAACACCTGCAGCACGGACCCTTACGGCTGCCATGGGCCACTAAGCAAACGTGAGCAGTCACTCAGGTTCCTCCTTATCAAAGAGACGGCAGTGATGGATTTAGGCAGTTCACGTGGATGACCACGTTATTTCCACATTCTGGAAAAGCTCAGGTGGGCAATCCCGGAGTGCCTGGAAAGCTTGAAGGGCTGTTGGACAGCAGTCTGCAGGATGGCAGCATAGAGCAGGAGAGTGCCTGGGCATCACCCCCACCACGCACACCCCTGTACTCCCCGTGCCAAAGGCGGCAGTGGAACAGCTCTGCAACAGCAACTGATTCACAGAACGCTGAGAGGCCGGAAAGGATCTTAAAGATCACCTAGTCCCAGCCCCCTACACCTCCTACTAAACCAGGCTGCTCAGGGCCTTATCCAGCCCGGCCTGGCTCACTCCAGGCTGGGGCACCCACAGCCTCCCTGCACCAGGGCCTCACCCTCTCTCCCCGCCCCGTGCCGGAGCTGGATTTTCCCCGCTGCCCCGCGACAGCCCCGGGCGGCAACAAACCCCGCACGCCCCGCTATGCCCCAGATCCCGGCGATCTGTGGGATCCGCCCCGCGCCCGCACAGGCCCGTGCCGGGCGTCAGCGGGGAAGGCCCAGGCCGGGGCCGCGCTGAGCCGGTGCCGGCGCTGCCCTGGGCCTGCCCTGGGCCTGCCCATCCCGCTGGCTCCTCCCTGGGGGAAGGAGGGAAGCAGGGGAAGGAGGGAAGGCGCCGGGGCCGCCCCCGCCGTGTGACGGGAGCGCAGCCCCGAGCGGGCGCCGGGCCTGAGCCGGGGGGTCGGCACCAGCTGCGGGGCCCGGCCCGGCCCGCCCGCCGGCGGACACCATGTTCTCCCTCAAGCCGCCCAAACCTACCTTCAAGTCGTACCTTCTGCCTCAGGTAACCGCCTTTTGCTGCCATTATCGACCTGCCCCTGGCCGGGCACAGCCCCGAGCCGGACAACAGCCCCGGACCGACCGGCCCGGAGCTGTGCCCGGCCCGGGGTGGTTGCCTGGCCTGTGGGACCAGAGAGGGAAGGCTCGTGTCATCGTCCCCTGCACTTGACACACGCATATTTATGTTTAAAGGAAGAAACTTTTCGCGCGAGTAGGTCGGACCTGTGGTGTGTGTGTCACGGAGGAGTTTCTGATTCTCGAGTAAATTCTCGTTTTGTTTTTTTTTTGTTCTCCAGGCTGAAGAGAACATAGCGTCAGAACCGAGGATTAAAAAGCTGGAACCGGTGCTTTTGCCAGGTAGGTGTAAATCAGGGATTTGACAAATAACCTTTGTTGATGTTGATTTTGGTATGTTTTCGTCTTGGCATTGCTCCTTGAGGGAATGTAACTCCTGGGTAGAAAAAGATGGTGATATTTGTGTCTGTAGAAAGTTATTCTAACCTGCCCGAAACACTACATACATGCATAGGCAATTTTGCCTGTGTGATGCTTTAGCACGTGTAGAATAATGTCTTGATTTCACTGTGAGCATTGGAAATTAAACCACTGTAAGTTTTTCAACGTTCTTGACACCTTTTGGAAGACTACTAATAACTGCATTTTCGTCAGATAGTCAGACATGTACCTGTGTGCAGAGCCCAGTACCTCAGCCTGGGCTGGAGCCTTCCTTTATTTTAAACGAAAATAGTAATAGAATTTCTGGTTCTGGTAGGTAGGTATGATTGACTTCTCTACTAGAAAACTTCTAATGCCATCTTTATTCGTTCTCTTTTTGAATATGCAGCTGTTTGGTAATTTTGGAATTTGTGTTTTCAGACCTCTACAGAATAGTCTTTTTAGTGTGTGGGTGAGAAAAGCAATGATTTTATTATTATTCATCATTATATATTTATAAAAATTAATGAGTTCCATATTTTAAATAAGAAATAATCTTTGGTAAATGATGGTTTGATCAATGAGGATTTCTGAAAGCCTTTTGTCGGATATCAAAGGAACAATACTGTTCTCAAGATAACTTTCATTGCAGACTGTACTTCACAGTAATAAATTTGGCTTGTGGTTTTTAATGGTAATTTTGAGTTTAAAACAATTCTATACTGCATTTTTTTCTTTTCATTCATATTGTGTGTTAAAAAATGTGAATTTACCCACACATTGATGTAGGAATAAACAGCTTACTCTTAAAAATTCTTTCTGTCACTTCTTTATATGGGACTATGCAGTACTAATGCTAATTAAGCAGTACTGATTTGTATGTGATATGGTCCAGTGAGGTACCTTAAGCTTAAGGGGCTGAAATATCGTGGGAGAGGTTCAACTGAAAGAGTAAATAATAACTGACTCTTCTTGAAACAAAATAATACAGATTTTGCTTGAGGTATAAATACTTTAAAATACATTGCTGAGATTGCTCGATGTTTGAAATACAGTTATGTTTTTATACTTGCAAAACTTCTGCTTAGCACTTGGCATCTCATTGGTTATGTTGCAGTTGATACTCATCCAAGGCCTTTGACTCACAAGGAAGTGACTGCATGTTCCTCTCTGAGACATTCCACAGCAAATGCAAGGCAGGACGAGGCTGCTTTTCTCAAACTGCAGCACATCTTGCCTTTGCTGTGGGCCCTGGCCACGAGCAGTTACAGAAACCGACTTTGTGCAGTAACTTTTGCGGTGTGATTCGTTCTTTATTTGTGAAACTCCCAAGTACAGTTAAAATGGTGCTGGCTGGGCTTGTTTTTCTCAACTGGCTTATATTTATTCCCTGTTTGCATCATTTTGCTTGTGTGCACTGTCTCCGATATCAGCATTTAATGGCTTTTGGGACATTTGTAGTAAGTTGCCCAAAGTTGTATAGAAGCCACAATATGACCTAAAATTTCCACCTCCTTATCATTGGAAGGTGTTACTTTGAATTATTTCATAATAGAAGTCACTGCTCTTACAGCCACAGAGTAGCTCTGACAAAATCCTTTAATTACTCTGTATGAGAGTGGAGGAGGGGAGTTTAGAAATTACTTATTTTAAATTATTTAAATGAAACTCTTTGTATTTAAAGCTAAGCACTGGCCTAAACACGTTTTTTTTTCATTCCTGTCGTCGGATGGTGCAGTAGAAAAGTGTATAAACAAGTACACATTGTGCTGTTGGATAGACTGGCTTTTGGATTTGTCATAACCCGAGTTTCTGGCCAAATTCCAATTAATTTAATTATATCAAGGCTGGCTTGCACTTCCTTGCAAGTACAGTTTTAGTATGGCATTCCTAATAACCTATCCTTGATAGCTGTGTGAAATTGCTTTTGCTCTCAGGGACAGAGGTAAGCCTGAGTGGCTGAATGTTTGTTATGCTTCTTTAAGTGGTGGAGTTTTTAATGAGTTCTTTTGGAATTAAATTACGTTAGCACAAGCAGTCACTGGCTTTAGTATTCTTCAGAAACTGCAAGTGGTTGTATTGAGCTTTTGATTCCTAAAATATAGTCACTTTGAGGGAGTGGCTTGCTTACTAAAAACTGAAATTCCAAAGTAGCTGAATACCCTGCTGTCTAACTTGTATTTCTGTGCAGTGGAGATTAGGAGAGGGAGTTCCAGGCTGGGAAATATGTCCAGTTACATAATGAGGAGGTTTTTAGGAAAAAAAAAAAAGGAATATTTACTGGAATTAACTTTAAACCTGTAGAGTTTGTTTTATAGAATTTGGTATTATTTCATTCCAAAATACATGATCTAGGTTTGAGATGGAGTTATAGAGATGTTTTTTTTTTCTTTCTGCAGTTCTGTTTTCCCAGTGTGGCTCTGTTGTCTGTTGCTTCAGCTTTAGTTGAAGAGTTGGCCTCTGTAACAGTTTCCCTTTTTTTCCCTTTGTTTGTTTGCATAGCTGCTTTTATAACATGTCACAGAGGAAAATTACTGAAGTAGCAGGTAGTTTACCAGTCAGCCTGTTAAAGTGCCTGCCTGGCTGGTAGGAAGTTGGCCTGTGTACCCTGGGGGAGTGTGAAGCTGTTAAACCTGAAGGTGTGTTTTGTTCTGGTGATCAGCTGTAGCCTGTTTTCCCTAACCACGTCTGTAGCGTTTTCAAGTCAGAAACCTTGTACAGCATAACTGGAGTACAGTGCAGAGTGTGTCTGTATGATTGGAGTGGCCAGGCAGTGTGCAGAGGGGGCAACATAGGGATAGGAACGAGCCAGTCCAGGCTCTGTACTGGGACCAGTGCCACACTTTGGTTTGGGCAAGAGCAGGCAAAAGATCCTCAGTGTTGTTCACACAGGATATTCTGTAGGAAATTGTGTAACCAATGGAGCACCTGATTGAGTGTGAGAAAAGGATTGTTCCTCTCCAATCTTAGTGTCCACTTGAATTAGTTAAATTGTTGGTCAGAATACTAATTTGCTAGTACATTAAGTTAGTAGTTGTTACCTGTAAGTTTTTACAAGAAGCCCAGAAACGGTGTAGTTGCTTTTGTTTTTAAAAGTTTATACAGTAAAATTACAGAAGTAAAATGAATTAGGATAGTAATTTTTATCCTTAAGGCTTGCTTGTGTTAAGGCAAGTAAAAGGGATATTGGTGGCGAGCTGCAGTTGCAAGCAGTCATGTCTGTTGTGTCTGCACCCTGTTTCATAGTCCGATGGTAGAAGTCAACTTTAGTGTCATCCCTGGTGTGTGGTCACACCCATGGGGGGTGTCCAGCAGGACATGGCCAGCTGGACCCTCTTGCTGGTGGTGGCTGCTGGCACAGAGGGACAAGAGAGCAGTGGACAGGCAGCACTCCCAGCTCCTTGTCCTGCCCTCCCGGCTCTGTGCAGCTGGGGAATGGGGACTTCCCTCTTGGAGTAACCTCATGGGGAGCCCCAAGTGAGGAGTCACAGGGCACCACAGAGACGGTGCTACCATATTCTGTTCCTCTTGCTGCATTTGTCTTACAGGAATTTATCCAGTCGCTTTCTGTAGGCATGTAAACGTCTATCACCCACAGCTTCATCTGGTAACCCTTTCAGCAATTTAATTATGTGCTGTTACAAACTGTTTGTTCTGAACTTACCACCATCTAGTTTCTTTGGATAAATCCTAGTTCTTGTATGACACAGCAAACATCAAATCGTATTCCTCCATTCCATGCGAGTCATGATTTTCAAACTTATATATCTGCTCTGTTTTGCTTCCTTCTAGCTTAGTTGTCTTAGTTGCTCCTAAAAAGGAACCTCCCTGTATCTTTAATCATTCTTTTGATTACCCTTGAACATTTTCCAGTTGCACTGAGCTCCTGCTGAGGTGGAATTGTGTATCATGTTCAAGATTTTTGCCACTGGATATGTTTGGCTTTTATCTGATAATACCAATTGGCTTTGCCACCTGCTTTTTGGGTTTGCTTTGCTTTTTTTGCATACATGTACCCTTAGAAAGGCAGCTGACTGTAGAAATTTAATTGTAGGAGGTTTTTAACACTGGATCCTGGAATGTTTTAATCTTTCCGAAGAGTCTGATTCTCTTGCAAGTTAGCTCCCAGCTCTTTTCCTTCCCCCTCCCCCCCCCCCCCCTGCTTTCTGCAATTCCTTAGTACATTAAGTCATGTGTTCCAGAGCAGCTGCAACACATCTTGTGATAGGAGCAGGGAATGCAGTGTTGGATGAGACTCCGTGTGCGTTAGTTCCCCAGGTATGTTGTCTCCTCACTGCTTTGGGCTCCTGCACCCCTTCCTTGGCATTTTCCTGTGATTGGTGGTGTCCCAGTGCTGAGCCCAGAGGTGCTGGTGTGCAGGGAATGTCCAGGGCTGGGTGGGTGGATGAGGAACAGGCACTGGGAACATGAGGGTAACGCACAACCCCAGAGGTCTGCCCACTCTGCTTGTCATGCTATTAGGAGTCATTTTGCCTTAACGGCTCAGAGGAAAACTGGGATTGTCCAATTATACGAGTAGG